GCTGCTGCCGCGCCCCGAGGGCTCTGCTGGGGCAGCACCGGGGCTTTCCCCTGCTCCCCCGGCCTCAAACCAGCCCCCTGCTCCAGCCACTCCTGCTTCCAGGACGGGGGAGTGAAACACAGGAGAACTTCGGGGCAAACATCCCTGAGCGCAGCTCGGGCTCCAAGCAGAGCAAAATGCCATTTGGGATTATTTTCCTAATGTAGGTCTTTTCCCAATAAAACAGTGGCACCACCCCAACTTTATTCCCATTTCCCGATCAGTTCCAGACATTCCCTGTATCCCCTCGGGACTCTCTGAGCAGGACCGGGCTCACCTGGTGCATTGGGGGCCGAGGAACCCCCCATGGCACCTGCCTTGGAAGGAAAGCCCTCACCTCGGAAGGGACAGTGGCCCATCCACAAGCAATAAAAAGGTGAATTTGCAGCCCCTTTGAGCCCCGGGATTTGTCCCTGAGCCTCTCAGGACCAGCCTCAGCCCGAGGGTGACTTGCCTGCTGATGGTTCATTGTTCTGAGCGAACATCTCCGCTGTGCTGCCGCATTTGCTGCGCCCCGTTCCCCGCAGCATCCCCGACCCTGCTGGGATCCGGGGAAAGGGATGAGCCTTTCCCTGCAGAGCCTGCAAACCCCCGACAGGAGATGTTCTGCTGCTACTCTGGCTCCCGAGTGCCACAGCTCCTGCTGCCCGGGACAGCCAGAGCGGGACCGGAGAGGAGCTGGTGGAGTCTGGGGCTGCATTCTGCACGGGACCTCGGCAGGGCTTTGGTGCCGCTGTCCCGAATCCTCTCGGGATTTCCAGATCCATGGAATGTTTGGGTTGGGAGGGACCTCAAATCCCACCCAGTCCCTCCCACTGTCCCAGGAGCTCCCAATGTCCAGCCTGGCCTTGGGCACGGCCAGGGATCCAGGGGCAGCCCCAGCTGCTCTGGCAATTCCATCCCAGCCCCTGCCCACCCTGCCAGGGAACAATTCCTGCCCAAGATCCCAAGATCCAGCCCTGCCCTCTGCCCCTGGCAGCCATTCCCTGGCTCCTGGCCCTGCAGCCCTTGGCCCCAGTCCCTCTCCAGCTCTCCTGGAGCAGCTCCGTGGCTCCTCTGGGCTCTCTCCAGCAGCTCCAGGTGCTGCTGCTGTTGGTGTCCCAGGGCTGGAGGCTCTGCAGGTGCAGCTTTGCTGCTTCTGAGCTTGGGAGAGAACTTTCTGTAATTTCGGCTCT